CAGTTCAAATGGCTTTGCAGTCTGGTGCACTAACCTACAGCGCCACACCTCCTTACATTCATAAAAACAGAGGATTTATAATGTGTGAAATGTATTTTAATAGCAAATCTATTTTTCTCATTTAATAAACTCATATTGATTAGGCCCAGATTTATAAAACCAATGTAGCTCTGGAAAATCAAAATGAAAAAGGAAGAAAGAACCCATCTATCTATCTATCTATCTATCTATCTATCTATCTATCTATCTATCTATCTATAGATATATGTATGTATTTGCTTTGTATTTTTGGTCATATATCAGAATGAACTTGAATTGAGTTAGGATGTTAGATAAAAAGGGATAAGTGCAACTATCTTGATTCTATTTTTGGCAAAATTATAATTTGTGTTCATGAGATCAAAATCTATAAATTATGGTGAAGGTAATATCAGGGTATAATTTTATATTTCTTCTTTAGGGAATTTTTGAAGCTCCTTTGAAATTTTTTTTTCTTTCTTGAGTGCAGCATGATGGTTAATTTGAAAATTACAAAAATAAGTTTTATTTTTCTAATTTTATGTTATTTGCCATTGTTTTATATTCATGATTGAGTAGGTCTCTATAAATGGACAGAACTTGGCAAATCAACCTCAAGGATTTTAAAATAGCAAGATTTGGTATAGCCAATTAAATGTCACTTAAAGGACTGAAGGAAGGGAAATTTTATTCTTTTTTTTAATGGAATTCTCTGGACTTGCTTAATAAAATACTAAAATATTCTGGAGAACAGAAAACAGAGTATAAGGATTAGAAAGACTTGTTCAAGAAGGAAAGCTTTAAGATTACATATTCTTAAAATAGGGGGCAGTATGGTAGGTTACAATGGAGATATGGGGTTCTAGGTTTTGGTTCCTGGGACTAGCTGTGAAGGAGCTCTGGTGGTACAAGTAAGTGCTTGGCCATGACACGAAAGGTTGGTGCTTGAGTCCCACCCAGCTATCGGTGGTAAAGATTATATCCAAGAAAACTGTAGGACAGTTCTGTTCCGTCACATGGAATTGCTATGAGTTAAAAATGACACAGTAATAACAACAACAGCAAAACTAGCTGTGTGGTGGTGGGCACTTGACCTCTCTGAGTTCAATTTCCTTGTGTATTTTCTTACTCATTAAATAACTATTTTAGTACTTGCTCTTCTACAGAGTGTGCTCGGTACTAAATATACAGACATGAAAGATTCAGTCTTTGGTTTCAAGATGCTTATAGTATATTAAGTAAAACAGGCAAGTACTTCAATAAATACAAGGTGACAATTACTATGATGAAAGCATGTTTGGGGTATTATAGAATCACTGACGAGGGACACTTAATTATCTGGAGTAGTCATTTCCTGTAGGTAATCCTGGAACTAAAACTTGAAGCCACCACTCGCCTGTCAGTTTGTCATACTGTGATGGCTTGCATGTTGCTATGATTCTGGAAACTATGCCACCAGCATTTTAAATACTAGTAGGGTCAGCCACAGTGGACAGGTTTCAGTTGAGTTTTCAGAAGAAGACAGACTAGGAAGAAGGAGAGACAGACTATTTCCAAATATTTAGTCACTGAAAACCTTATGAATAGCAGTCAAACACTGTCCACACCAGAATATTGAATATTGGAACATGATGAAGAGCACCAGAATATTACCAGATATAATGCCAGAGGATGAGCCCCTCAGTTTGAAAGGCCTCAAACTATTACTGGGAAAGAGCTGCCTCCTCAAGGTAGTGACTTTGATGATGTGAATGGAGTAAAGTCTCCAGGACTTTCATTTGCTGGTGTGGAACTCAAAATGAAGAGAAGCAGCTGCAAACATCCATTAATAATTGGAACATGGAATTCATGAAATATGAATCTAGGAAAATTGGAAATTGTCAAGAATGAATGGAATGCATAAACATCAATAACCTAGGCATTAGTGAGCTATATGGAGTGGTATTGGCCATTTTGAATCTGACAATCATGCGGTTTACTATGCAGGGAATGACAAACTGAAGAGGAATGCCGTCACATTCATCATCAAAATAAATATGTCAAGATCTATCTTGAAGTACAACGTTGTCTGTGATAGGATAATATCCATACGACTATAAGAAAAGCCAGTTAATACCACTATTATTCAGATTTATGCACCAACTACTAAAGTCAGTGATGATGAAATTGAATTTTGCCAACTTCTTCAGTCTGAAATAGATCAAATATGCAATTAAGATGTGTTGATAATCACTGGTGATTGGAATGCAAAGGTTGGAAACAAAGAGGAAGAATCAGTAGTTGGAAAATATGGCCTTAGTGACAGAAACGAAGGTAGAGATCACATGATAGAATTCTGCAATGACTTCATTGCAAATACCCTTTTTAAACAATATAAAAGATGACTATACACATGGACATCACCAGATGGAATACAAAGAAAAAAAAATTGACTACATGTATGAAGAGATGGAAAACTCCATGTCATCAGCTAAAACAAGGCCAGGGGTGGAACAGACCATCAATTGCTCATATGCAAGTTTAGGCTGAAGCTGAAGAAAATTGAAACACCAGAGCCAAAATATGACCTTGAATATATCCCACCTGAATTTAGAGATCAAACAGATTTGATGCATTAGACACTAGTGACCAAAGACCAGAAGAGTTGTGGGAGGATATTAAGATCAACATACAGGAAGAATGTAAAAGGTCATTAAAAAGACAAGAAAGAGAGAAATGACCAAAATGGATGTCAGAAGAGACTCTGAAACCTGCTATCCAATGTAGAGATGCTAAAGCAAATGGAAGAAATGAAGAGGTAAAAGAGCTGAATAGAAAATTTCAAAGGGCAGCTAGAGAAGACACAGTCAAATATTTGAATGAAATGTGCACAGACCTGGAGTTAGAAAACCAAAAGGGGAAAAATACACTTAGTATTTCTCAAGCTGAAGGAACTGAAGAAAAAAAATCAAGCCTTGACTTGCAGTATTGATGGATTTTACAGGCAAAATATTGAATGATGCAGAAAGCATCAAAAAAAGATAGAAGGAATACTCAGAGTCACTGCATCAAAAAAAAAAAAGAAGGAATACTCAGAGTCACTGCATCAAAAAGAAGCAGTCGAGGTGGGGCGGAGGTAACTGTGGGGACAGTATGTCTTGACTGAGCACTTGGATTTGGCTCCTCCATTATCAACATGGAAGAAATTTACATCGGTTCCCCAGACCCTGAAAAGCTATTACACTGCCCCTATGATAAAAACCACCAGATCAGGGCTTGAAGATTTCCTTATCATCTTATCAAGGGCAGAAATAATCATCCTGATGTCACAAACAAATTGACTACTTGTTCCTTTCTTGCTCGCCACCAGGTTCCTCGGGCCAAAATTAGTCATCGTATCTCAAGCTGTGATGACAAGAGTGGTATTGAACAGGATGTTGTCAACCAAACCAGGAACCTTGGACAAGAGACTCTAGCTGAGAACACTTGATAATGCCCTCCATGTGAGGAAGACTGGGATAAAGATTTGTGGGAACAAACCATCGCCCCATTTATCAGGGGCACAGCAACTACTGTGCCAACAACAGTCCTGCAAGCCACAGAGTTATGAAACACAAGAGTAACCTGGCTTCAGGCATGTGCGTTCCCAAGTCTCTGCCATATTTTCTGCCATGGAAAACAATGGAAACACATAGTAACTGAATATTTCATCGAATGCCAGACTTAGAAGACTCTTGCTTCTCCCTGTTAGCAGTGGTCTCTTTATTTTCCTCATAATATAATTATAGAAAGATTAACTGTGACTTTCAAACTGATAAGTACCTTTTTTGCCTCTCTCATTTTAGCCCTCCTGCAAGAACCCTCGTACTCAGAAAAACTTCCAAATTAACTATCAACTAAATTTATCAATTTAGTTAAGAGTACCTGCAGTACAAAAATTAGAAATCTCATCGCATTGCACATTAATGAAACATAATGACTTCAAGTGATTCTAAAGCAGACAGGATTAGAAACAAGTAACTATATATTTGTGCTGTCTGGCACACTTGGACCCACTTCTTTTCAGCATGTAAAAAAATGGGCCTTTTCTGATCAGTGTGCCTTTATCCAAAGAATCACTGAGATTGGTGATAGCATTTATGTAGCAAAATGCCCCATTATTGTTGAGAATAACTTAAGACATTTTGCCTCCTAAATTTGTCCAACCTAGAGTAGTTTTCTTTTATCAACCTCCCCTCCATTCCTAGGTATAC